TGGTGGGGGACCGGCCTCACCCCATCCTCCCAGATAGCTTGAGGCTTCCTGGGGATGCAAACACAGCAAAGTGCTGAGAAATGTTGGCTCTCTCTCCTTTCTCCCTCCTGCCCCTTCTAAGGTTGTGGACATTGCAGGCTAGGTTTTTGCTGTGAATGACAAAAGGGCAATTCTGCGGTGAGCTGGCTGCGTGCTGTGTGCAGGGAGGGGATCCGCCACCCAGAACACCTTGTGCCGTTTTTTCCCCTCTGGTCTCTGTTTTGGAACATTGTTCAATCCCCACCCAGCTCAGTTGTACTTGCTGTGGCTCCAGTTTCTAATTCCAGAAAGGCACAGCCTCCGTAAGTTCAAGTCTGTCTGTCCATCCATCTGTCAGACCTGATAAAAGAAAAACTTGAGCAGAATTAAATTTAAAGCAGTTTAACTGAGGAATAAATGATTCTTGAATCAGGCAGTCCCCAGAATCAAGGCAGATTCACCAAGACTCTAGCACAGCCACATGGTGGAAGATTTTTTTTTCTTTTTTTCCTTGAGAACCAGTCTCCCTGTGACTGATACTCAGGCTGGAGTGTAATGGTGCCACCTCGGCTCACTGCAACTCCGCCTCCTGGATTCAAGTGATTCTGCTGCCTCAGCCTCCCAAGTGGCTGGGACTACAAGCATGCACCACCACACCCGGCTAATTTTTGTATTTTTAGTAGAGATGGAGTTTCACCATGTTGGCCAGGCTGGTCTCAAACTCCTGACCTCAAGTGATCTGCCTAAATCAGTCTCCCAAAGTGCTGGGATTACAGGCATGCCACCAAGCCGACCATGTGGTGGAAGAAGATTTATTGACAAAAAAAGAGAAGTGATGTTCAGAAATCCAGCAGTGAGGTACAGAAACAGCTAGATCAGCTACAGGCTGGCGTTTGCCTTATTTGAACACAGTCTGAACACTTAGTAGTCTCTGAGTGGTTGAAGTATGGCTGCTGGGATTGGCGACCACCCCAGCTCAAGTGATCCTTCCGCCTCAGCCACCCAAGTGGCTGGGACTACAGGCATGCACTATTGTTTTCTTTTTTTTGGAGACGGAGTTTCGCTCTTGTTACCCAGGCTGGAGTGCAATGGCGCGATCTCGGCTAACCGCAACCTCTGCCTCCTGGGTTCAGGCAATTCTCCTGCCTCAGCCTCCCGAGTAGCTGGGATTACAGGCACGCGCCACCATGCCCAGCTAATTTTTTGTATTTTTAGTAGAGACAGGGTTTCACCATGTTGACCAGGATGGTCTCGATCTCTTGATCTCGTGATCCACCCGCCTCGGCCTCCCAAAGTGCTGGGATTACAGGCTTGAGCCACCGTGCCCGGCCCCCCCCCTTTTTTTTTTTTTTAATAGAAATGGGCTTACACCATGTTGCCCAGGCTGGTCTTGAACTCGTGAGCTCAAGTGATCCACTGCCTCGGCCTCTCAAAGTGCTGGATTACAGGCATGAGCCCCGGTATTCAGACCTTCTTTGTTTGTTTAATGATGTGGATGAACTATTTCAGTCAAGTCTGTTTCCTTTGCAGTGTGTAGCTTCTCATGTCACACCTCAGGTGGTGCAGCCTTGGACATGTGTGCAGTCACCCAGAGAATGCAGCGTTTTCTACGGTGCTGTATTTGACTTTCTCCTTCCCTGATCGCTCTGTTAAACTCTGTGCCTCTGCTGGTCTCACACCCAACTATCAGCCTCCGCTAACTGCAGGCTAATTGTTCTACTGTTTTCAAAAATGCTCTGGGGGTAATGATTGGGCTTTGTGCTTCTCCAGGCCCAGCTCCTCTAGAGTGTGAGATCTTCGGAGGTATCCATAAACGTGCTTAAGAAACCAAAAATTATATTGTTTGTCATGAGTTTTAAAAAGATAATTACACCTTAACAAGTATAGTGAATCTCGTAACCCCTTAAGACAAACCTAAGTAAAATCTTATAAAGATACAATGACATAAAAATCTGCCATGCATACACTCACCGGGGTAAAGCCTCTTCTATAACTTTCATTTTCTGTAAAAAAAAAAACCCAAAAAAACAAAAAACCCCCGCCTAAACTAAAAGCATAAACAATAGGCATATAAAAAGGGGGCCTGCCTTCTAGTGCCAAGCTCCTGCAGCACTCGGAGGTCAGTAGCTTTCCCTTCCAGTTCCCTTGGGTGGTTTCACTTCAGAGTGGCCTCCGGCAAAACACCTCCCTGTGAATGAGTGGCTTTCCCTCGCACCCGAGAGGGCAGATTTTCCGCAGATTTGTTGAGTGTGTGTGTTGGGGGAAGATACCAGCGAGTCCCACTAGTGTAGCAGTGGGGCAAATTCTTTGTCAGTTCAGCGAGTCACACCGTGCCCTTTCCAACAAGAGCTGGGTCTCAGCCCTGTGGGTGGGAACTTTCTTGGGTGCGCTATTTAAGCCCTAGGATAGCAGTAGGGGTAGTGGTATTTCCTTATATGTATAATTTCTCTATTTTTTTTTTTTTTTTTTTTTGAGACTGAGTCTCACTCAGTCACCCAGGTTGGAGTGCAGTGGCTCTATCTTGGCTCACTGCAACCTTCGCCTCCTGGGTTCAAGCAATTCTCCTGCCTTTGCCTCCCGAGTAGCTGGGATCACAGGTGCCTGCCACCATGCCTGGCTAATTTTTCTATTTTTTTTTTTTTTGAGACAGAGTTTCACTCATGTTACCCAGGCTAGAGTGCAATGGCGCGATCTCGGCTCACCGCAACCTCCGCCTCCTGGGCTCAGGCAATTCTCCTGCCTCAGCCTCCTAAGTAGCTGGGATTACAGGCATGCACCACCATGCCCAGCTAATTTTTTGTATTTTTAGTAGAGACGGGGTTTCACCATGTTGACCAGGATGGTCTCGATCTCTTGACCTCGTGATCCACCCGCCTCGGCCTCCCAAAGTGCTGGGATTACAGGCTTGAGCCACCGCGCCCGGCTAATTTTTGTATTTTTAGCAGAGACAGAGTTTCACCACGTTGGCCAGGCTGTTTCTCGAACTGCCGACCTCCAGTGGTCCACCTGCCTCACCCTCCCAAAGTGCTGGGATTACGAGACATGAGCCACCGTGTCCAGGGTGAATTTCTATATTCTTTTGAGCTCTCTTTACTTCTTTCCAGCCAAGGCCTTGTCACTCCAATACCCTGTGGAAGTTCAGAATTCCTGATGTGAAACTTTCCTTCCCACACGCAGATGTCAGGCACTGTCGAAGCTTTAGGGGCTGCAGGATCCCGCTGTGTGAGCACCTGAAACTTGGAAGCAGAACCCTTCTCTTCTGCGATGTCTTTCCAGGACCTTTACCGACAAAGCATAGGCACCAACAGGAAAAGGCAAAATATGTAGAGGTTCCAGCTCCATTTTCAGAGAGCAGACCCAGATTGTGCGTTGGGAATGGAGAGGTACTCATTGGAGAACTGGCAAAAACTCAAATGTCTGTCAGCAGCAGAAAAGGAAAAAAATTGTGTTGCATACGTACAGTGGAAGGATACATATGAATGAGAATGAATGAACAGATATACACAACAGAGAAGAATCTCACAAACATGATGTCAAGTGAGAGACACTAGACATAAAAGAATACTTTCTGGACTGGAGTGTAATAGCACAATCTCAGCTCACTGCAACCCCCCGCCTCCTGGGTTCAAAAGATTCTCCTGCCTCAGTCTCCCGAGTAGCTGGGATTACAGGAACCCATCACCACATCCAGCTAATTTTTATATTTTTAGTAGAGACGTGGTTTCACCATGTTGGCCAGGCTGGTCTCAAACTCCTGACCTCGTGATCTGCCTGCCTTGGCCTCCCAAAGTGCTAGGATCACAGGCATGAGCCAGCGCACCCAGCTGGACCCTGTCATTACAAAACAAACAAACAGAAGAATACTGTCTGCATGATTCCATTAATTTAAATTCAGAAACCATTCTGAGTCTCTGCTAATGGGGGAAGGAGAATGGCTACCTTTGGTGGGTGCAGTAACTGGAGGATGGGTGGTAATGGGGAGAAGGGAACGTGTGGGTGCCAGAGGTGTTCGTATCCTGATTTGGGTTGTATAGCCCTCCAGGGCCTATCCTTCAACAGTAAGATAGGCCTTGGCCAGCTTTCCTCGTCAGGATATGGTTAGGGTGAGCACAGCACAGCTCATCCCAGCTCCCTAACTAGCTGCCCTAACCCTACTTTTGTTTTGTTTTGAAACAAGGTCTCACTCTGTCACCCAGGCTGGAGCGCAGTGGCACAATCTCAGCTCACTGTAGCCTCCACCTCCCAGCCTCACGTGATCCTCCTACCTCAGCCTTCTGAGTAGCTGGGACCACAAGTGTGCATCACCACCTCAAGCTAATGTTTGTATTTTTGGTTGAAATGGGGTTTCGCCATGTTGCCCAGGCTGGTCTTGAACTCCTGAGCTCAAGCGATCTGCCCGCCTTGACCTCCCAAAGTGATGGGATTACAGGTGTGAGCCACCGTGCCTGGCCCCTAACCCCAATTTAATGCTCCAGTCGAGGCCACAGGGGAGGCACAGAGTAGCCGAGTGGTTAAGAGGTTCATCTCAGACCTGAGTCTGCCAGACTTAAACTCTACCTCTCCCATTTATTAGCTCCATGGCTCTAGATGAGTTCTCTGCTATCAGCATCTCGGTTTCCTCATCTGTAAAGTGGACATCATTATAGTGCCTGAAGAGTAAGTATTCATAAAAGAACTCAGGGGCCGGGTTGCGGTGGCTCACGTCTGTAATCCCAGCACTTTGGGAGGCCGAGGTCTGGGCATTACAAGGTCAGGAGTTGGAGACCATCCCGGCTAACACGGTGAAATCCTGTCTCTACTAAAAATGCAAAAATTAGCCAGGCGTGGGGGTGGGCACCTGTAGTCGCAGCTACTCAGGTGGCTGAGGCATGAGAATTGCTTGAACCCAGGAAGCAGAGGTTGCAGTGAGCCGAGGTCACACCACTGCACTCCAGCCTGGTGTCTGGCAACCGAGTGAGACTCTGTCTCAAAAAAAAAATAAATAAATTAAATAAAATAAAATAAGGACTCAGGAGGGGACCTGTCATGTGATCAGCACAACACAAGTGTTTGTCAAAGTAAAATATCTAACATTTTCAAGGCTCAAAGCCTATTTCCCAAAATGGTTCTGATCATTTCCTTCTCTCTTAAAAGAAAGCAATGTGGACAAAAATTGTCCCCACCCCAGCCCTGGGCACCATTTGTCGAGAGGGAAGATGAGGCTGGATAGAGCCTAGTTTTGCCTGCAATGACATTCCTCCCTCCTGGTCCCAGGACCCCAGAAGATCATCACTACCAGAAAACACATCAACCTTTGCCCTGGTCCAGCCAGAGGCCCAGAGGGTGCAGAGGCGGTGACAGAGTGAGACCTTATTTTAAAAACAAAACAAAACAAAACAGGGGTTAGGGCAGCCAGCTGGGGAGCCGGGATGTGCTGCGCTCACCCTAAGCACACGCTGACGAAGAAAGATGCTCAAGTCTCCTATCTTACAGTTGAAGGATTGGGCCCTGGAGGCCTATACAACCCACGTGAAATCTCTTTCCAGGGTTCCCAGGAGCTGAGATAGATGCCCATTTCAGCCTGATCTTCCAGAAGGTCCTTGGGAAGCCCACCTCCCAAGACTCCCCCTGATGGGCAGAACTGGTTTTTCTGGGTCCCCAGATTGCTTAGGGAAACAGGTTCTTCTAGCTCCCCATTGGCCCTTCTGTGCTTACTCTGAGAAGCCAGGTCAGGCCACTGTGTCAGGCTTAGCCCAGAGAGAGTGGGGTGGAGGAGGCGGAGGGTATAACCCGGATGGGTCCTCTCCACACAGGCTCTCAGGCAAGCTCCCTGGGGCCCCAGGAACATGGCTGTCCCGTGGCTGGTGCTGCTCTTGGCATTGCCTGTCTTTTTCCTGGGAGCCTTTGTCTGGGCTGTCTTTGAGCACTTCCTCACGGCGGATGTCCCAGCCACCAAGTGGAGAGCCCTGCATTGCATATTCCTGTATCTGCTCACTTTGGTGAGTTTACTCTCAGACCACATCATAACCTGGGGGCTGTTTCTCTTGTTCTCAGTACCTTACCCTCTTCTTCCTCTTTCCCTTCCCTTCTGTCTCTCTCTTTTCAGACTCCCTCAACATACACTGGTCTCTATCTGCTGTTCTGTTTCCCTCTCTCCCCTCTGTTCCTTCCCCCTTCCCATAGCCAGCCTTCCTCCCTCCTTCCCTCCCTCCCTCCCTGCTTTTGTTCCTTTCTTTCTTCCTCTCTCCTGCTCTCTCTAACTCCCTTCCTTTCTTTCTTCAGCATCAAACATTTACTGAGTGCCAATCACTGGGCTCTTTTCTGAGAATTCAAAAACAACTTCAGACCTAGTCCTTGCCTTCCACGGGCTTGTGACCCAACAGGGCCCTGCACCTCCTTCAGCCACACCATCTTTCACCCTCGGTGCACTGACTTGCCTACGGGTTGTTTCTATTCTATTTTGTTTTATTGAGACAGGCTCTTGCTCTGTTGCCCAGGCTGGAATGCAGTGGTGCAATCACGGCTCAGTGCAGCCTTAACCTCCTGGGCTCATGCGATCCTTTCCATCTCAGCCTCCCAAGTAGCTAGCTGGGACTACAGGTGTTCACCACCATGCCTGGCTAATTTTTGTACTTTTGGTAGAGACAGAGTTTTGCTCTGTTGCTCAGACTGGTCCAGAACTCCTGAGCTCAAGCGATCTGCCCACCTTGGCCTCCCAAAGTCTAGGAATGACACGTGTGAGCCACTGTACCTGCCTCACAGGTGTGTTCTCCTTGTTAATCTCTGTGAGCCCAGTCCCACTCACAGCGCCTGGCATCTGGTAGGTGCTGACTGTTTGTTGATACAGTCATACATGAATTTACGCAGAGTTTCTGAGTGGCTGAGCCAGTTAGGCTCTGAGCCGGGATTGGGGGCTGGGAGTCTGGCTGGGCTCAGCCCACTCCCGGAGTTGCAGTGGATTTGAAAACAATGGTTGGCGTCTTGCTTGTGGCAGGCAACCTGGGTTAACCCCATGTCCCAACTGCAGGTCGGGTCAAACAGCTCCTGCCAATTACAGGGCAGCTGTGGAGGAGGATGGGGAGGCCAAGTTTAATTGACAGCAGGGCTTAAGGATAAGGAACAGAGACTCCAGCCAGACTGCCTGAGAGTGTGTGGGTGTGTCCCAGGGTGTGTCCTGAGTGTGTGTGGGTGTGTCCAGCTCTGCCACTCACTCGCTGTGCGGTCCCGCACCATCTACTTACCCTCTCTGTGTCTCAGTTTCCTCGTCTGGGAGGGTTCATGTGTTTAGAGATGTTTAGTGAGTTCATAAAATATGTTTCTGTGCTGCCGGAATTGTTCCCCATGGGTAACTAACATTCTCTAAAAGAGTCATTGAGACAGAGTCTTATTCTGTTGCCAGGCTGGAATGCATTGGTCCAACTGTGGCTCATTGCAGCCTTAACCTCCCGGGCTGAAGCGATCCCTTCCATCTCAGCCCCAGGCTGGTCTAGAACTCCTAGGCTCAAGCAATCTTGTCTTGAAATTGTCTTTTAGAGAATATTTATTACCCATGGGGAAATTTACAGAAATGAACGAGTTCAGTTTGCAATCGCAGAAATGCTGCTGACTCAAGGAGGCAGGCTGAGGTCGCAGGAAGTACTCTTGTCTCTCTCATTTGGAGAATGGAATCAGCCTGGATTAGGCTGACTTAAGCCGGTGGCTGCAATCCATATGGAATTACTGGCTCGGATAGGGCCCCAGGATTTAAAACAAGGGTCTAAGATGTTCAAATAGCCCAGAGACATTAAGATTTTTCTAACCTTCAGTGTTTCTCCTCCAAAGTAGCCCATAAGCTAAGCATCTACTGTGACAGCAGCTAAGGGCTGCTCACAGGAGACTCTGAGATGGGTCTGCAGTGGCTGAAAGGATGGATTTGGCTTGTGACATCCTCTCTTGATCCCTCCAGTCCTGGGCCCCCCAGGGGCACACTGCCCATCATGGGGTGACGATGGTGAGGATGAAGACATCCAGTAGTGAATGTTCATTCAGTTCCAGAGGACAGGTAGACATCACAGGAACAAGAAGTTTGGGGAGGACAAGGAAAAAGCTAAAAAGAGTCTATGCCCAGGAAATTAAGAGCTTTGTTTTGGTATCAGACTACCCTGCGTCTGAGCTCTGAAGCCTTCACTTACTCGCTTTGTGGACTCATGATTTTGTGCCTTTATTTTCTTCTCTGAAAAGCGAAAAATTTTTTTTTTCTGAAACAGTCTCACTCTGTCACCCAGGCTGGAGTGCAGTGGCTTAAACACCGCTCACTCAGCCTCCACCTCCTGGGCTCAAGTGATCCTCCCACCTCAGCCTCCCATGTAGCTGGGACCACAGGCGTGCACCATCACATCACACCTGGCTAATTTTTTGATATTTTGTACAGAGGAGGTCTTGCTATGTTGCCAAGGCTAATCTTAAATTCCTGGATTCAAGCAATCCTCTTGCCTTGGCCTCCCAAAGTGCTTGGATTACAGGCATGAACCACGGTCCATGGCCCAGGGGAGGCCTTTTATAGGGTGATGTGGGGATTAAATGAGAAAGCATCAAAAATGCACAGCACAGTGCAGGGCACTTAGAAAGGCTCAATAAAAGTCGATTATTCATAGTATGCTTATCAAGTCCCTGAAGGCAAAGATGTAGCATGTCTTGAAGTTATTATAGATTTAAAAGTTGCTACAAATGATTTCAGCCTTACTAAAACATATAGAGTAATATAACAAACACTACTGGTTTTCTTTTTCTTTTCTTTCTTTTTTTTTTTTTTTTTTGGTTTTTTGAGACAGAGTCTCAGTCTGTCACCAACCAGGCTGAAGTGCAGTGGCATAATCATGGCTTACTGCAGCCTCGCCCTTCGGGGCTCAGGTGATCCTCCCACCTCAACGTCCTGAGTAGCTAGGACTATAGGCACCTGCCATCACGCCCACATAACCTTTTTTTTTTTTTGTATTTTGTAGAGATGGGGTTTCGCCATGTTGCCCAGGCTGGTCTTGAACTCCTGGGCTCAAGAGATCTGCCTGCCTTGGCCTCCCAAACTGTTAGGATTACAGATGTGAGCCACTGCGCCTGGCCTCTATAGCTTTTCTTTTAAAGGGCAAATGATGCAACATTTGTCAAGGAGTTTCAACAGCTATCTAAAATTCTGAACCTCAGATATTTATTTTCTGTAGAGATGGGGTTTCTCCATATTGTCCAGGCTGGTCTTGAACTCCTAGGCTCAAGGGAGGAAAATGGCCCCACGTGAACCTGACCCTTGAGCCTGGATATGAAAGTCAGTTTGGTGTCCAATTACCTGCTAGACAGGTAACTACCTGCTGGAGTTGGGTTCAGACTTGAGCTTGGATAGGCTAGGCTCCAGAACCCAAGCTCTTTCTCCTTTAGCAGTTGAGAACACAAAATTTACATCTTACTTGTTGAGCAACCCTGGGCAAGGAACTTGACCTTGGCATGCCCTAAAATGGAGCTGGTAATTGTGCTTGACTTAAAAAGGTTACTGAGAAGTTTAATCAAGTCAACGATCCAAGTCACTTGGGGCAGTACTGGCACATTGTAAATGTCTAGTAAGTATCAGCTGTTCTTATTCTTTTCATTCTTATCATCCCTTGCTGTTTTCCTTATGACAAAGACACTCTCCAAATGTGAAGTCTGTGGGAGAGATTATTCAAAATGGCTGAAATGTACTTAGTATGTGAAATATGACACCTTTTAACTACATTTCATGAAACATTCAGATGTTGACTTGTTTATAATTAGAGTGGCCATGTTAATTTAAAAACACATTATTCCCTTGACCTGAGCCCACAACAGACATCCCTAATGAATCACGTTGCCCTTTTTAGTTGAACACGGACACAGTTAGGAATCCTTCCTAACATGGAAGAAGAATGTGTTGATGCAGGTGAGGAACTGCCTTTGCATCCCAGGCTGGAGAGAGGCCAGCACAGAACTATAGAGAGAGGGGTTGCCGGTAATTTACCTTGGACAATTGGCATTGCTAAGTCAATGGCTTCTTCCCACTCAGCCCAAACTAAGCTATCCTTTGGCAAATTCACACTGTTATTCAATCAAAAGCTTTTCGGAAGAAAAGTCCCCCTACTCGGACACTACCTGGACACAATCCAGAGCCCACTGATTCCTGATGAGCCTCCTTTACCTACAGGAGGCAGGTGAGAAACTGTGAAAACGTCCTAACGATTCTAAGTGTCGGGGAATCTATCATCTGGATTCTAATCTCTTCTAATGTCTGGCTTTCTTTTATGACTTCCAACAGGGGAATATACTTGAGAAGCTGCAAATTTTGCTCCATGCCCAAATTTGTCCGTTTTTTACATGATAGCATGAGAATTAAAAAGGACCCTGAACTTATGGTGACTAACCTGCATTTTGGGACGATACCTGTGAGGCTGTTCCAGCCCAAGGCAGCATCCTCCAGACTCTGGCGAGGCATCATCTTCTACCAAGGAGGGGGCTCAGTATTTGGGAGCCTGGGTAAGGGGCTTCCCTGTGGCTTTGTAGAGGTCGGGCCTCATATGCATGCGTAGCCGAGCTCATGCCTCCCCCCAAAACCCTTCTGCAGTAGCTCAGAGGAATCAGTTGTTGGAATTTTTGTAAGGTTAATAGCCCAGACTAAGGGCTTTGGGCTCAGGTTAGTAGATGGTGTGGCAGCCTACATGGGAAAACTTTTCCTTTCTATAACATGATAGTCTCGGTCAAGATGGGGATAGCAGTGTCATGGTGGGGCTGTCACAGAGGCTGTTGACACCTCTCTCCCCTTTCTGCTCACAGTCATTGGCCTGCCCTGCCTTGTGTTAGTGATCCCAAACCCATGTATTTCCCTCTAGCTCTGCAGTGTCGCCATGACCCAGGACCCCATCCTTGCTTGCCTGTCCCCTTGCACCCAGCCTCCCAGCCACTGGTCTCCCTGGTTCACCTCTCGCTCCTCACATCTGGTCCCCACCCAGAAGGATTTTTTTTTTTTTTGAGATGAAGTCTCCATCTGTCACCCAGGCTGGTGGGAGTAGTGCAATGGCGTAATCGTGGCTCACCGAAACCTCTGCCTCCCAGGTTCAAGCTATTCTCCTGCCTCAGCCTCCCCAGTAGCTGGGGCTACGGGCCCATGCCCAGCTAATTTTTGTATTTTTAATAGAGATGGGGTTTCACCATGTTGGCCAGGATGGTCTCGATCTGCTGACCTCAGGTGATCGAGGCCTCCCAAAGTGCTGGGATTACAGGCATGAGCCACTGTGCCTGGCCTTAGAGGGATCTTTTAAAAATACAAGGCAGAGCTTGTCAGTCCTGCACTTACATCTTTCCTGTGCCCTTCCATGAAACCCAAACTCCTCCCACAGCCTCGCCCGGGTCACCTGTGTGTCCCTCACCGGTTCACTCAGCTGCAGTCCCGCTATGCATCGATCCGCTGCAGACACTTCAGCTCCTTCCCACCACCATTCTCCACCTGCTGTTTCCTCGGCCTCAAAGGACATTCTTCCCACCCCTGGCACTGCATGGCTGAGCACCCCTGGCTCTTTCAGTTGTAACTCAACTATCCTTCCCCACAGTGGCCTTGATACCGGAGGGCTGGGGGAGGTCCCCAAAGGCCAGTGGGACCTCAACTGCAACTGGTGTCCCTGCTCTTGACACCATCATGAGAATGAATTCAAGGATGAGTCAGAAAATAGTGAAAATACAGAGATTTGTTGCAAAGGGAAAAGCGCACACTGAAGAAAAGAGAGTGGGGCGGACTCAAGAGAGACACTCAAGGGGGTTTGGGGCTACTACCTTTATGTGTTTCTTTAACCAAGAGGTGGGGCCGGGCACAGTGGCTCACGCCTGTAATCCTAGCACTTTGGGAGGCCGAGGTGGGTGGATCACCTGAGGTCAGGAGTTCAAGACCAGCCTGGCCATCATGGTGAAACCCCATCTTTATAAAAAAAAAAAAAAAAGAAGAGGTGGAATATTCATGAAACTTCTTGGAAAAAGGTCAAGTTTTCTCGAACTGCGATGCCACCCATTTGTACACCAAATATGGGTGTCCCCATAACTGTCCTGGTGCTGGTGGATGTGTGCATAATATGCTAATGAACACATAAGGAGGTCCTAGGACAAACCCAGGTCCAATCTAGTGCCATGTTGGGTCCAGTCAGTCTGAGCCAACTTGGTCTACACCCTGGCCTTTCAGGGTCTTATCAGCTTCTGCAACTATTTCATTTCTTTTCTTTTTTGAGACGGAGTCTTGCTCTGTCACCCAGGCTGGAGCGCAGTGGCACAATCTTGGCTCACTGCCACCTCTGCCTCCCGGGTTCAAGCAATTCTCCTTCCTCAACCTCCCGAGTAGCTGGGATTACAGGCGCTCGCCACCATGCCCAGCTAATTTTTGTATTTTTAGTAGAGATGGCATTTCACCATATTGGCCAGGCTAGTCTTGAACTCCTGACCTCATGATCCAACCACCTCGGCCTCCCAAAGTGCTGGGATTACAGACATGAGCCACCGCGCCCGGTCTTCTGCAGCTATTTCAATAGTTTCCTTTTGCTAGTTGTGTGAAACTGCTGCCTGGAATTTTCTGTTCTTCTGCTACCACCCTGTGTAATTCCTATCTCATTTTTTTGCCCTTAAGTATAAGAGATTTCTGTCTCTTATACTTAGGGGTTGACAAGGGAGGAGGTCAGTCTTCAGTATCTCTTTCCTGCTGATTGGGGTGTCGGCCCCGCCTAGCGTGGGCGTGGCAATCTCTGGTTGCCTAGTGTACGGGTCTCAAGGGTGAGTCATCAGGAGGATCTGAATCCGAGCCAGGGATTGGTTGGAATCCTGCAGGACCATCCTTTTGACATGGAACTGTTGCAATCTATTAGGTTGGTGCAAAAGTAATTGCCGTTCTTGCCATAAAAGGCGACAACTATTTGCACCAACCTAACAGAGGACATAAACTTTAGAAGAAGATTAAACAAGCAAGGACCCAGGATTGGAAGTAATAAGACAGCTATTAAAGGTCCCAGGAAAGCTAGTGTGACTCATGTCACACTTGGTCGGTATCCCTGGGTGGAATCCCAGGTGGTTTCAGCAGTGAGGTAATTGAAATGATACAGCTGGCTGGGTGCAGTGGCTCATGCCTGTAATCCCAGCACTTTGGGAGGCGGAGGTGGGTGGATCACCGGAGTCAGGAGTTAGAGACCAGCCTGATCAACATGGAGAAACCCCATCGCTACTAAAAATATAAAAAAATTAGCCGAGCGTGGTGGCTCATGCCTGTAAGCCCAGCTACTCGGGAAGCTGAGGCAGGAGAATCGCTTGAACCCAGGAGGCAGAGGTTGTGGTGAGCTGAGATCACGCCACTGCACTCCAGCCTGGGCAACAAGAGCAAGATTCCATCTAAAAAAAAAAGATTCCTTCTAATAAAAAGCCACGAAGGCCTGTATATATGGTATTTCAGTCCATTTCTCCTGGCATTTATGAAAAAATCCTAATTGCAAGATAGTATTACAATTTAGGGTTTCATTCTCTGGCTATTGCACCCTATTTTCCAACTTACATTGGGGCCTCGTGGTGTTATAGAAAGAATGGAGTTTCTTCTGAGCCCATCAAGTTTAAAATTATTCATTTTTAAGAATGTGCCCCAATTGGCAGAGATAGTTATCCATGACCTTGACTTGTCCTTGGCATGGCTTGAGAGAGAAGGGAAAAATAACGGGATGGTTCCCTCATAGATGGACTGGTCCTGGCATTTTATGAAATGCCCCTTGTGATAGGCCAGCTCCATGGCTGTGCCCGGGAGACGGGCGTCCCAGTTCCCTTGGCTGGTGCCTCAGCGTCCAGGCATCCCTGGAGTCTCAGTGTTGCCAGGGCATCCATGGCCCCTGGGGCTTTGGAAATGGGAAGGTCAAGTAGGGCAAGCTTGCCGATATCCATCCGAACATTTATCACAGGTAAGACTTGGGAGTAGAGATGATTCAGCGTGGCCCAAAACAGGGACCTTGAAGGGACCCCTTGGCATTTTAGAGAACAGTATCTAAGGGGCCTATCCTGCTGTGTCTAAAGAGTTCACTAAGCTTTCGTGCGAAGTAGGTGGAAGAATCATGAGAAGAGAAAATCACAACAGTAGGGTTTAAAGAAAGACAAGGAGAAAACGGTTCCCAACCAGGGTCAGTGTCTTGGCACAGCTGGTCCCTTGGGAAAACAGAAGCCCCTTCCCAGGAAAAAGTCATAGTGCTCCTTGGAAACCATCCAGCCACTGTCTGCTCTGGGTTTCTACCCTACCACCCTCATGAGGCTCATGTCTGGGAGGACCATGTACCTCAAAGCTACTCAGCGTAAGGCTGGGCATGGTAGCTTATGCCTGGAATCCCAGCACTTTGGGAGGTTGAGGCAGGTGGACTGCTTGAGCTGAGGAGTTCAAGACCAGCCCTGGCAACATGGTGAAACCCCTTCTCTACAAAAAGTACAAAAGTCCACTGGGCATGGGGTGGTGCATGTCTGTAGTCCCAGCTACTCAGGGAGACTGTTTGAGCCCGGGAGGTGTGGATTACAGTGAGCCGAGATTACACCACTGCACTCCGGCCTGGGTAACAGAGAAAGTCTGTCTCCAGAAAAAAGCTACTCTGTGTAGGTGGAAAACTTTCCATCTCTGCTTGTCACCCATCAGGATGAATTGGGCTTTCCAGCTTGAGGGAGTAGTGGGGAGGCAGACTGTAGTCAGCACCCAGAAACAAGGAAGGAAGTAGCAGTAATTCCAGAGAACCAGAGGACTCCAGCCAAGGTTGGAGTGGGACTTACCGATTGCCAGTGGTTCTAAAATGGGGGTGATGGTGCTCCTGACTGGGTCACCACAAAGATGATACAGGTGGGCTGGGGGGGTCCCCAAACACCGGTGGGACGTCGGCCCTCGCTATTGTTCAGGTTCTTGACACCATCATGAGAATGAATTCAAGGACGAGTCAGAAAATAGTGAAAGTATGAAGATTTTTTGGGAAAAGCATGTAGTCAAGAGTGCAGGTGGACTCAAGAAAGACACGTGCAGGGGGGTTTGGGGCTGCTACCTTTAAAGGTTTCTTTAACCAAGCAGTGGAAAATTCATGACAATTCCTGGAAAAAGGTGGCATTTTCTCGGAACTGTGGTGGCACCCATTTGTACACCAAATATGGGTGTTTCAGAACTGTCATGGTCCTGGTGGCTGTGTGTTTAGTGTCTTGGTGAGCACAGAAGGAGGTCCTAGGAGAGACTCGGGTCCAATCCAGCTCCATGATGGGTCTAGTCGGTCTTAGCCAGCTTGGTCCACACCCTGGCTGTTCAAGGGTTTATCAGTCTCTAGCTTCTGCAGCTATTTCAAGTTTCCTTTTGCTCATTGTGTGAAACTGCTGCCTGGAATTGCTTTTCTTTTCTTCTTTTCTTTTCCTATTCTCTTTTTTCTGTCGTCTTACTCCGTCACCCAGGCTGGAGTGCAGTGGTACAATCTTGGCTCACTTCAACTCCACCTCCTGGGTTGAAGCGATGCTTGTGCCTCAGCCTTCTGAGTACCTGGGATTACAGGTGCGTGCTACCACGCTGGGCTAATAATTTTTGTATTTTTAGTAGAGATGGGGTTTCACTGTGTTGGCCAGGCTGGTCTTGAACTCCTGACCTCAGGTGATCCGCCCGCGTTGGCCTCCCAAAGTGCTGGGATTACAGGTGTGAGCCACCGCAGCCAGCCTAGAATTTTCTATTCTCCTGCAAGCACCTTGTGTTATTCCTGTCTCAGCTTCCCTGGACATGGTATCTAAGAACTCTCCCTGCTGACGCTGCTGCCCTGCCCTGCACCGCTGTCTCCACCCCCCTGCTTCATCCTTGTTAATTTTTTTTCGGGCACTTGTTCCTTCACGGCTTTCCTTATTTAGTACTTGACTCCCCCACTAAAAATGAAGACTGCAGGAAGTTTTGTTTGTTGCTAGATTCCCCAGTGCCTGTTGTTTTCATTTTTTGAATTGAATGAATGAATGCACGAATAAATAGATGGATGGATGGGGGAATAAGTGGATCAAAGGATGGGCTTGCGAATGAACAAATGGATATGGATTGTATGCACGGATGCATGGACACACGGGAGAAAAATTTGCCCATAGGAAAAGGCGACAGCTACCGGTACGTAACTTCCCCGAGATTAGGATGTGCTGCCCCCTGGTGGTGGAAGTGACGATGGCCATTCTCTAGCTGGATCCGTTGTCATGGGAACAGAACCCAGTTCCTGGCCTCATGGACCTGACAGTCCCCTGAGGGAGCTGGACACTGAAGCTACAGCAGATCCTGATAACACAGGTGGCATGGAGAATGGCTCACAGCATCATTCCGATTTAGCTTTTCTCATCGGAGAAGTCAGATTTGAGCTCAGGCCCAATGGATGAGGAGAATCTTGCTCCGAGGAGGCCGGAGAAGAGCCTTCTAAGTGAGGGCTGGGGCTAGAGGGAGGCACTTGCTTCAGGCTCCAAATTGAAAAGATGCCAAAACATTCATTCATCAAGATAAGTGATATTTTAATGCAATGTTTGAAAAAACTAAATATTAATGCCAAACAATTATGATGAACAAAATGACAAAATGTTTATACAGGCAAGGCCGAACAGGGCAGAGCAAGTGGGTAAGTAAAAAGCAGAAGCCTGTTTATATATATATATATATATATATATTTTTTTTTTTTTTTAAGGACAAGGTCTTGCTCTGTCACCCAGGCTAGAGTGCAGTGGCGTGATCACCGCTCACTGCAACTTCCAACTCCTGGGATCATGTGATCTTCCTGCTTCAGCATCCCAAGTAGCTGGGACCATAGGCATGCACCACCACCACCAGGTAATTATTTATTGATTTGTTTGTTTGTTTATTTTGAGACAGGGTCTCACACTGTTGTCCAGGCTGGAGTGCAGTGGTGCAGTTATGGCTCACTGCAGCCTCAACCTCCTGGGCTCAGGTAATTCTCCTGCCTCAGCCTCCTGAGTAGCTGGGACTACAGGCACGCGCCACCATGCCCAGCTAATTTTTTTTTTTGTAGTTTTAGTAGAGACAGGGTTTCACCATGTTGACCAGGATGGTCTCGATCTCTTGACCTCTTGATCCACCCGCCTCGGCCTCCCAAAGTGCTGGGATTACAGGCTTGAGCCACCGCGCCCGGCCGAATTTTTAAATTATTTGTAAAGATGGGGTCTCCCTGTGTTGCCCAGGCTAGTCTTGAACTCCTGGGCTCAAGTGATCCCCCCACCTTGGCCTTCCAAAGTGTTGGGATTACAGGAGTGAGCCACTGTGCCTGGCCTAATTATTTTTATAGAGATGAAGTCTTGCTGTATTGCCCAGTCTGGTCTCAAACTCATGGGCTCAAGTGATCTTGCCTTGGCCTCCTGAAGTGCCAGGATTACAGATGTGAGCCACTGCACCCAGCCAGGCCTATGTAAAATTTTGATATATTGTTCATCATGCAATTTTTTGGCATTAATTGTGATTGCTTTTTTTTTTTCTTTTTGAGACAGGCTCGCTCAGTCTCCCAGGCTGGAGTACAGTGGCACCATCTCGGCTCACTGTAACCTCCGTCTCGTGGGTTCAAGCGATCCTCCTGCCTCAGTCTCCCAAGTAACTGGGATTACAGGCACTCGCCACCACGCCCAGCTAATTTTTGTATTTTTAGTAAAGACGGGGTTTCACCATATTGGCCAGGATGGTCTCAAACTCCAGACTTCATGATCTGCCTGCCTCAGCCTCCCAAAGTTCTGGGATTACAGGCGTGAGCCAGGGTGTCAGTATTTTTAAACAGCTCATCAGATGACTGCAATGTGCAGCCTGGAGTGAGACCTGCTAGTATGGAAACTTCACCTTAGGGGTTCTGACTCAATTTAGACTCCTCTCTGCCTCTGGCTGCCCTCAGAACCATTGTCACCTTCCTCAAAGAGCATTAATGAAGCATGCACCCACTTCAGCAACCTCCCCAAACCCTGGAATTACCTGGTATGATTTAGAGGATCCTAATGCCTGAGCTTCCACCCTGAAGAATCTGATCCATTTGGTTTGAGGTTTAGCCTGGGCCGGAGGACCTGCAAAAACTCCCCAGTACCTCCATGTATGGCTGAAGTTGAGAATGACTCAATTAGACAGAAGTGTATTTGGCACTGATTCTGCGTCCACCACTGTGCCAGTAAATTCTACGTCCTCGTATTAATGGACCTGCCTCTGAGACTTCATATGCACCACTCTGCTAATAGAAATGCCCCATCCAAGCACTGTTTATTTCCTGATCAATATCAATGTATAGCTACTGTTAATACCCCAGGGCAGGCATGCCTAACTTCCCTTGGTTTCGTCCATGTCTGATCACTAAGATTTCCAGGTTCCTGGTTTCCTCCACTGTAAAATAAATGTTGCAGAAAGTGAGCCCCAAGGCGCATTTGAGCCCCAACATTGAGGAGGTTGGGGACAGATGTCTGATTTGGCCTGGCTTATTCTCTCTGCCCAGGCAGAGCCAGCCAGGGTCACTTCAGAGGAGGCAAGAGCAGAAACAGAGAGAGGAAGCCACAGCCCACACCAAGACGGTCAGCTGGCTCTTCCTGGGGGCCGCGGCGAGAGGGTCTGGGCCCTACTCATGGGCTGCTACTCTGACTGTGTTTGTCTTGCAGATTGTTACCATGGCCTGTGCAATCTTCTGGCCCAGGAGACTGACTCTGTGGTTGTGATGATTGGGTGACTTGCTGGAGACAGCTGGTGGGTTTCACAGGGGTGAGAGGAGACAGGGTAAGTTCATGGGTGATTTGTAGATCAGAGACGCCCTGACTCCCAAGAGTCTTGGATACGCATCCGCAGAGACAGGTGCAGGAGTGCTCAAAAGAGGAAAAACCTGGAAACAACACGCAGGCCCGTGAGCAGGGGCGTGCTGCATAAACCACAGTATGGTGAGTATTGGATTCCATAACTACAAAGATATTATGGAATGTTCCATAGCCATTTAAATAAATGAACCAGAAAGGTATACAATATTGCCAACGAATCTTAGTAGTATGAAACTATGTGAAAAATTTTCAAAAAATTACGTAAAGCCTGATACTCATTTCGCAAAGGTAAAAACGTTAAAACCAAAAGAATGCTTTCCAGGAATCCACATAGACACAATAAGACAATGTAACATAGAAAGAAAAAAATGATAGAAACAGATTCGGGGCAACCCTTCACTAAGTTGGGGGAGAAGCGAAATGGGATGGTGGTGGGGCTGGTGAAGGTGAAGGTCGTTTTCTGGCTGTTGTTTGGGGTGATGGTTCTGCAGGTGCTTATTGTATTGTTAAAAACTGAGCTTCTGGTCCTGCAGAGACTAGTGCTAAGAGTGTCTTAACATACAACTCTGGTCCAGTAAAAATGAAAGGGAGATGAGGGCATCTTTAGAGTGGATGGAGGGGGCAGTAGGGGCCTCTCACTAGGATTCTGGTTCTTGGGCCAAGGGATCTCACATCACTGGGAAAGAGTTTAGTGAAGGCCAGTGAGAGAAATTAAAATCTGCCTTTTTAGATTCTACCTCTACAATGAACCTCCTCAAACAGTAGCTGCCCCTAGGCTTTGGTAGACAGAATAGCTGAGTGACTTAAACAAAGTCACTTAGCATCTCTGGTCCTCCTTGATGAGACTGAGGAAGCCAGCACTTTCTACTATTCATCAACATACCTCCCAGGTGGCTTGTCATTGTGTCTGAAATTCCACCATTACAGTCTATGTCACCAGAGGCCTTTGTGATAATAAAAAGATCCCTTGAACAAGTAGCACATAAAGGTATCAATAAGCACCTGCATTAATACCTTGTAGGAAATTGCTTAGGATACCATTATCCAGGTACATAGAAAGACCTGGTGCATGGGCCAGGGCAGTTTTGATAGAGTGGCTGACAGAGTGGCATGCACAGATAAGGGCTTCAAGGAGGCTGCAGCAGGACAGTAGCTGGGAGGAGACTCCCTGAGAGACACTGAAGGAAGGAAGATGTCTAAAGCCTGGATGGGACTCCCTACCCGAGCACTTGGAGAAGATGGGTCTTTTGACCTTTGGTTCTGCGAAGCCTTCACCTCGGGGTGGGTTTCTTAATTTGGGCTGCTATGCCAAATTACCATAGATGGGACAGTTTAAATAACACATTGATTTTTCACAGTTTTGGAGGCTGGAAGTCCAGGATCAGGGTGTCAGGCTCTAGTGAAGACCCTTTTCCAGGCTGTAGACTGCCAGCTTCTCCTTGTTTCCAAACATGGCAGAAGGAGAAGCCAGAGAACTCTCTAAAGCCTCCTTCGTAAGGGCACTAATCCCGTTCACGAGGGGTGCACCCTCATGGCCCGGTCACTTTCCTAAGGCCCCACTTCCTAACACCCTCACATTGCAGTGTAGGATTTCAACATGGGAATTTTGGGGGGACACACACATTCAGTCCATCACAGTGAGCAAGAGAGGAGTGCAGGGAGGCACAGGAGAATTTCTGCCTCTTTCCGGCAGGTCAGAGATTTTGCTGACAGAAAGTACCTTCATCATGTTGGAGCTGTATATTCAACACTTGGTGAGGAGTATTCACTTCTAGAAATGGAAAAATGGAAGCTGAGGTTTGTGCTCATGGCTGCCAGGTGCAGAGGCCACCTCCCTTCAAGGACCCTCTAAGAAGCATGTGTTTTGCCTGAGCTTTCGTGGGAACCTGTCTTGATAACATGGATAGTTTATTATTAATATTATTATTATTATCATTATCTGAGACGGACTTTCCGTCTTGTCGCCCAGGCTGGAGTGCAATGGTGCTATCTCGGCTCACTGCAACTTCCGCCTCCTCCTGGGTTCAAGCGATTCTCTTGCCTCAGCCTCCCGAGTAGCTGGGATTACAGGTATGTGCCACCATGACTGGCTAATTTTGTATTTTTAGTAGAGATGGAGTTTCTCCATGTTGGTCAAGCTGGTCTGAAACTCAAACTTAAGTGATCCACCTGCCTCGGCCTCCCAAAGTGCTGGGATAACAGGCGTAAGCCATTGCACCCAGCCCAACATGGACAGATTTATCAATATATTGATCATCTGGGAAATGGGCAATAATATTATTGGGCAATGTTTCCTAGATGGGCACTATATTATGCTGCAGTCAACCAAACTCTGTTTTGAAAGATGAAGCTTTAAAGCAACTTTTAAAGGAAACAAAATTTAAGGTCTAATAGAAGGCAGTGGTTTTCAAAGTGGTTCCCTTGAACCCTAGGGTTCCCTGTGATGTCCTAGAGACAACTATGGAGGTCAAAGAAGAATGAGGAAGAGTGAGGGTTTAGGCTCTTTATCCTTGGGCAAAACCAGAACAATCACATTTGTTTATTTTATATGGTGGGGCTGGTATATCATTTTTTTCTACTCAGAAAAAAGTTATTGTTCTAAGTTGAAAGCTACTAAAGTGTCATTTTTCCTTATGAGCTTCTTCCAAATTTAATGCAATAATTAGAATATACCTTTTCAATGTTTTCTTTTCTTTCTTTTCTTTTTTTTTGAGATGGAGTCTTGCTCTGTTGCCCAGGCTGGAGCGCAGTGGCAGGATCTTACTCACTGCAACCTCTGCCTCTTGGGTTCAAGCGATTCTCCTGCTCAGTCTCTCGAGTACCTGGGATTACAGGCTCCCACCACCACACCCAGCTAGTTTTTTATTTTTAGTAGAGACGGGGTTTCACCATGTTGGCCAGGCTGGTCTCGAACTCCTGACCTCAGGTGATCCACCCGCCTTGGCTTCCCAAAGTGCTGGGATTACAGGTGTGAGCCAACATGCCCAAGCTTGATGTTTTCAATGATAGATTGTAAGAACAAAACAGATGATTAGCAACAACCTCAACTTAAAATTTAAGAGAACAATTGTTTAGATAAACTCTCTGCTCCAATCAGTTAAGCCAACTGTTTCTATTTTTTATTCTTTCCTTTCTATTATCTTAATTTTAATTTATGCATTAGTTAGGTTGTGTCTTACTGTTTTTAAAAGCTTTTTTTGTTGTTGTTCAGAGTCTCGTGCTGTTGCCCGGGTTGGAGTGCAATGGCGCCATCTCGGCTCACTGCAACCTCTGCCTTTTGGGTTCAAGCGATTCTCCTGCCTCAGCCTCCCAAGTAGTTGGGATTACAGGTGTCTGCCACCATGCCCAGCTAATTTTCGTATTTTTAGTAGAGACAGGGTTTCACCATGTTGGTCAGGCTAATCTCGAGCTCTTGACTTCAGGTGATCCACCTACCTCGGCCTCCTAAAGTGCTGGGATTACAGGTGTGAGCCACTGTGCCCATACTTTTTTTTTTTTTTGAGATGGAGTCTTGCTCTGTTGCCCAGGCTGGAGTGCAATGGAACAATCTCGGCTCACCGCAACCTCTGCCTCCTGGGTTCAAGTGATTCTCCTGCCTCAGCCTCCTGAGTAGCTGGGATTACAGGCGTGTGCCACCAGGCCTGGCTAATTTTTGTATTTTTAGTAGAGATGGGTTTTCACCATGTTGGCCAGGCTGGCCTCAAACTCCTGACCTTGTGATCCACCCGCCTCGGCCTGACAAAGTGCTGGGATTGCAGGCGTGAGCCACTGTGCCTGGCCTTAAAAGCTCATTTTAAAGTTCCTTTTCTTTGTCCTTGACTTTCTTTGAGGAGACATACTTTGGAAACCAAACCTTAGGATATTTAAGACCAACTTCCTAGTGTTCTTCACCAGCCACTGGCACCTGGGTCTTCCTCAGCATGAGCTGTGTGTCTCCAGGCTAGCTTTCCGTCTCTACACGGCACCTGCAGAACAGTTCCAGCCCCTCTTGCCTCCCACACTGGAGTGCAGGGTCCAATCACAGCGCACTGCAGCCTCAACCTTCTCAGCTCAAGCAGTCCTCCTGCTTCAGCCTCCCGAGTAGCTGGGACTACAGGTGTGAGCCACCATATATGCCTGGCCAAATTTTTAATTAAATTTTTGATTTAAAAAATTCTGGCTGGGCACGGTGGCTCATGCCTGTAATCCCAGCACTTTGGGAGGCTGAGGTGGGTGGATCATGAGGTCAAGAGATTGAGACCACCCTAGCCAACATGGTGAAATCCAATCTCTACTAAAAATACAAAAAAATTAGCTGGGCGTGATGGCGTGCGGCTGTAGTCCCAGCTACTCGGGAGGCTGAGGCAGGAGTATCGCTTGAACCTGGGAAGCGGAGGTTGTGGTGAGCTGAGATTACACCATTGCACTCCAGCCTGGCAACAGAGCAAGACTCCATCTCAAAAAAAAAGAAAAAAATCTGCCTGAAAGTAACATCCCTTGACTTTAGTTTTCTCTCTCCCTTTCTCTGCAGTTACGCAGTGGGACTGGCAGTGGTTTAATTTGCCTTTTTTTTTTTCAGCCATTGCTGGTTGTTTTGCTCCCGAAGCAAATAGCTTCAGTGAAAGCAAAGTTGTGTCATCTCATAGGGAGTTTACAGGAAGCAGACGGAGCACGTGCTTGGAGTAGAAAATCCTGGCCTGTGTGAGCCTAGGCAGGTCCTTCACATGCTCATAGGAAGACAACGGGGATAAAATCCTTACTTCATAGGGTTATTCTGAGGATTTAATTAGATATGGTCTTGGAAGGAGGGTTGAGGACTCTGTTGGAACAGCCCCCTGGCCACAATCCACCCTGGCCTACTGTCGCTCCCTGCTTGCTTTCTAGGTACCGCATGGTTCCTGACCACCATTCCCCTGCCATTTTCCATGACTGCATGAATACTTCCATTTACTTCCTGAAGGTCCTGGAAACCTACGGGGTGGACCCCTCCAGGGTTGTGGTCTGTGTAGAAAGCATCGGAGGCGCAGCGGCGGCCACCATCACCCAGGCCTGGTGGGAAGATCGGATCTTCCCTGGATCCGGGCTCAGGTTCTGATCTACCTGCTTGTCCAGGTATTATGTTTGCAGTTACCATCCTTTCAGCAGAACCAAAATGTCCCGTTCCTCTCCTGGAAGTTCATGGTGACCGCTCTGTGTAACTATCTGGCCATTGACCTCTCCTGGCGTGATGCCATTTTGAACGGCAGTTGTGTACCCCCGGAGGTCTGGAGGAAGTATGAGAAGTGGCTTAGCCCTGGCAACGTCCCCAAGAAATTTAGGAAAAGAGGCTTCCAACCCTGGCCTCCAGGCCCTTTTAATGAAGCTGCCTGTCTAGAAACCAAACATATGCTGGATGTAGAAAATTCTTCCCTGCTAGCAGATGATGATGTCATCGCTCAGCTTCCCGAGGCCTTCCTGGTGTGTTGTGAGAATGACATACTCCGTGATGACAGCTTGCTCTATAAGAAGCGCTTGGAGGACCAGGGGGTCCATGTGACATGGTACCACCTGGAGGAGGGTTTTCACGGATCCCTTATCTTTTTTGATAAGAAGGCTCTCTCTTTCCTATGCTCCCTGAAGATCGTGAATGCTGTAGTCAATTATGTAAAGGGCATGTGATAGTAACCCTGGAGCCCCGAGGAGGAAGGGGCAAGCATGGACTCTACCAGAAACTGGGTGCTTTAGTGAGTTCTACGTTGTTGACTAAAGTGGTGCTACGTCAATGCTTGGGTCAGCTGGGAAGGGTGGGAAGGAAGCTAACAGTCTTGCTTAGTGTTCCAGAAAATCCCAACTCTGTGTGTTGCCTTTTGTCACTAACAGTGTCTAGTTCTGGATCTAGCAGCATTCTTTAACATTCCATTCAGGTGAAATAAATATCAAAAAAAAAAACAAAAATGGCTTTAAAAATTTCTCAAAGCCCTAACATATGAGATCTGTGCAGAATAAATGCCAACAACTGGTCATGCTGTCAGCGGTGAATCTATACCCATGATGACAAAACATTGCTCGGGGCTGTGGAACCTGTTGGAGGAAGGGGCACTTAATTGTTCCTGTGGTCAAAGGTCACTGGTCAAATCCCAACTTTGATTGGCTCCAGCTAGTCTGAGAAATGCTGTTGCAATGAAATTCTACCCTTGACACAGCCACCCTTGGGCTGGACTAAATGAAGATCTCAGAGGGGATTGCGGGAAAGAGAGGGACAGAGAAAGAGGCAGGAGGAAAGGAACAGAAGAAAAGGGTGGGCTCTGGGGAGCTATGAGCTTTGCCTGGGCTCAAGTCTTTCATCTGAGTTTCAAAAACAGACTGCTGGCTACTAATAGGCAGGTTCACCAAGTCAGGGATGTCTTGGGGACCTCTGGATGCCATCTGGAATATAAAAAATGTCTTTCCTCCATCCTGGCCAACATGGTGAAACTCCATCTCTACTAAAAATGCAAAAATTAGCTGGGCGTGGTGGCATGCACCTGTAATCCCAGCTACTCAGGAGGCTGCAGCAGGAGAATTGCTTGAACCCGGGACACAGAGGTTGCAGTGAGCCAAAATCATGCCACTGCACTCCAGCCTTGACCACAGAGTGAGATTCCATCTCAGGAAATAAATAAATAAATAAAAAAAATAAAAACTGCATTTCCTGAGGGAGTAAGGTGACAGCCTCTTTTCTTTGATGAGCTTGTATATTGTTCTCATATTTATAAAGAACCGTGCCCTGGCTTAGCCATACCAATTTCTCTGCTCACAGGGAAAAGAAAGGGAACCTTTGTGTTGCATATTGGAGGTGACCCACACTAGTTGCTGCATTGAGACCATGTATGCTAGATATATCTGTAATACCCGTGGGCCTCAGTGCTGTCAGTCTCACCAAAGTCCCTCCCAAATGCTGAAGCTGGAGGTTCTTCCAACCAAAGCCTCAGTGGGTACCAATGACCCCACCTATGACTGATGGAAGAGGGGGACCTACAGGTGTCTTGGTTCTTTGCAAAGAGAGCAGGCATTCAAATAGGCAATTTGGATTGGGCACCTGGAGGCATGAGCAGACATTGTGACTCATGGATTATATGTAAGCAGCTTTGATGGAAACCTGTGTTAATTATCTATTGATGTGTAACAATATTGCCACAAGCATGATGGCTTAAAACAATACACATTTATTAGCTTACAGTTTCTGTAGATCAGGAGCCTATCGTTTAGCTGGGTTATTGGCTTGGGGTCCTACAAAGCTACAGTCAAGGTGTTGGGGCTGTGGTCTCATCTGAGGCTCAGTTGGGGAAGGATCTCCTCTCAAGCTTGGTCAGGTTGTTGGCAGAATTCAATTCCTTGTGATTATAGACCGAGGACTTCAGTTTCTTGCAAGCTGTAGTCAGAGGTCAATCTCAGCTTCTAGAGGTTGCCTATAGTGTCTTAACACATGAAATTCTCCAAATGACTGCAAGGAAGAGATAGACTCAAGCAAGGTAGCTATTAGAACTAATGTAAGGTAATCACAAATGCATATCATATACATGTCATCACCTTTGCCGTATGCTATTGGTGAGAAGCAAGTCATAAGCCTTGTCCACAAGGGTATGATCACTGTGGGGTGGGGACCATGAGGCTGCATTAGAGCATGTCCGCCACAGAAGGCTCACCAGGAGGTGTTGGGAAGAACAGTCAACCCAACTTCTCAGCCAGAGAAACTCAGGATGGTCTGTAATCATTGGCTTGACCTGGAGCTAGTGACTGATGGTTCCTCCAGTAGAGTTCTCTCTTTCCCCAATTCTAACTCTCTCTTCTCCCACTCTTGTTACTCCCATCTTGACTTCCATGGGTGGAGTAAATTGCACCTTCCTCTAAGCTCTTCCAAGCCTGTTTTTATGACATAAACTCTATGTCCTTTCATTAGGTAGGGTCCAATCAGGAGAAATAAACCGGACCAGCAGTCTTCTTCTTTTCTCTTGAAAGTCTTTATCAGCCTCTAAGTAGAATCAAATCCTCATAAGCCATTTTCTACCTCTGAGAACCTAGCTAACAATTATATCCAGGGACACTTATAAGAAATTGTGAACACAGAAATCACTAGTCTCTGGTTCTGAATTGACACCAATCTTGAGGACAGTGTTTCTGTGGCTTTCCCATTCAAAGTGGAGGCTTTCTGTGGTCAGGTGACAGATGAAGTCTTGCCTCAAGTCCAACTCTCATTGGGCTCAATTTGTCCACAGACACATGTGTTCATTATATCTCTAGTGCTTCAATGTATCATGGAAATAGACATGTGGAAACTGGCAGAATCCTACGTTGGCTCTATGATCAAAGAAATGAGGGTCATTATAACAGGAAGCACTATGTGGAAGACCCTGAAATTTCTCCTCAAGATAATAAGCCAGAAGCAGTCTGCCCCCCACAGGGAACTGCAGAGATTCATATCATCCTAAAAGATTTCAAAAAGGCACCTATCACACCCTGATCTAGTTCACCAGTCTGAAAATGTGCAGAAGTCTGATCCATATTGGAGAATGCATATGAGTGATTCTAAAATTACTCATGCAGCGATTTCGATTACAGCTGTTTTTCCAGCTGTAGGATCATATGGGAGCAGGTAAACACAGCTCCTGGCACTTGGTAAGCAGCTACTGACCTGGAAGCAACCTTTTGTTCCATACCAATTTGTAAGGAATACCAGAAGCCACCTGCCTTTATCTGGCAGGGCTAACAGTATACCTTTACAGTCTCGCCTCAGGGCAATGTCAATATTGCTTTGTGCTCTAACATAGTCATCAGAGATTGTAATTGCTCTGACATCCCAGAAAGCATCATGATAATCCATTACATTGATGGCATTATGCTTATTGGATCTGTTTAAGCAGGAAGTAGCATGTAGTTTAGAATACCTTAGGAAGACATATGCAAAGTGAAAGAAACTCCAAAACAATTAACTGACAGCCACATCAGTGAAATTTCTGGTGGTTCAATGATGTGGAGAATGTTGAGATATTTGCTAAAAGGTGAAAGACAAAGGGCTGCACCTGTTCCATCTACAGTGAAAAATGCACAATGCTTGTTAGGGCTTTTGGATTTTGAAGGCAACATCTACCACATTTGTGCCAGCTATTTCTCTGCAGCTAGAAAATTCCCCGTAGCCTGACTGCCTGCCTATTTTGGGTGGGGAACAGAGCAAGATAAGGCTCTGTAGCGGATTCAGGCTGTTATAGAAGCTGCTGTGCCCACTTGGGAACCCTAACATTGACTGAATTACTGGCATATTAATTATTAATGCCAGCCAGCCAGTACATTCATTCATAGAGAGGCACTGTCAACCTGTGCCCTCCAATGGGATGGATATATGTTCCACTTGGTGAATCTCTAAACAGTGCTTTTTCTTTTTTCTTTTCTCTCTCTTTTTTTATTTCTATTTTATTTTATTTTTTTGAGAACGGGTCTGGCTTTGTTGTCCGAAGCCAGCGTGCAGTAGAGTGGAAGGCAGTGGTGTGATCTTGTCTCACTGCAACCTCAGCCTCCTGGGCTTAAACCATTTTCCCACCTCCAGTTCCCAAGTAGCTGGGACCTGGCATGCTCCACCATGCCAGGCTAATTTTTTGGTATTTTTGGTATTGATGGAGTTTTGCCATGTTGCCAAGGCTGGTCTCAAACTCCTAAGCTCAAAAGAATCTCCCTCCTCAGCCTCCCAAAATGCTAGGGTTATAGATATGAGCCACAGCACCTGGCAAACAATGTTTTCTTTCCAGAAGTACCATGTTTGCTGCTGGGGCTGAAGTTCTTATGTGGAAGCCACGTATTAATTTATCGTCTTTCCCCCCAGATATAGTAATTTGTATTTTTCCTAAGAGAAGAAAGCCTTGTATGTATCTTTTGCATGGTGAAAGAAACACTACCGTGGCACTGAAATGCACCCAGACCAGCCTCACCTCATCACCCAGGGTTACTGTGAACGATACCGTTACCTTAGATTTCCTTCTTATGGGCCAAGGTGGAGTCTGTGTAATTGCTAATATATCTTGCTATACCTGAATCAATGCCACCAGCCAAGCAGAAAAATTCGTACAAACACTTATAAAGCAAGCCACCTAGCTTTCTAAGGTAAGCCCAGATGGTTGATCAGATTTGTTCAACTGGTCAGGTCTCCTGTAGATTAGCCTGATCCTGCTGCTTGGGGTCCTGGAGATAGCAGCCTTTATTAAATGCTTTATAAGATAAATTGGAGATTTCCCCCATCCCCAGCCTTTGTCAGGCAGATTAACTGGAGTGGCTAAAGATGTGACATACTTATGGAAAAACATCCCAGAAGCCTAGATCAAGCAGAAACGAGGGGTGAAGCTTGCAGGGAGATGAGTCTCCCTGGGTCTCTCACATTTCTGTGCTTCTTGTGAACAGAAGCACTGACGACCTTTGATCCAGACTGTCTTTTTGAAGATGTTTGTAGAGTAATCCACCTTGGAAGCTAGAGAGAGTGTTTCCTCTTGCATCAGGGGGCAAGTTTATTTACTGTCCAGTATCATAAAGATAATAGGAAATTTGTTTAAATTCCTTGCAGATTTTGGGATATTAGATCTTTGTCAGTTGGGTAGATTTCAGAAGATTCCTCCCATTCTGTAAGTTGCTTGTTCACTCTGATGCTAGTTTCTTTTGCTGTGCAGAAGCTCTTAGTTTAATTAGATCCCATTTGTCAGTTTTGGCTTTTGCTGCAATTGCCTTTGGTGTTTTCATCATGAAGTCTTTGCCCATGCCTATATCCTGAATGGTATTGCCTAGGTTTTCTTCGATAGTTTTTATGGTTTTGAGTTTTATATTTAAGTCTTTAATCTATCTTGAGTTAATTTTTGTATAAGGTGTAAGGAGGGGGTCCAGTTTCAGTTTTCTGCATATGGCTAGCCAGTCCTGAATGGTACTGCCTAGATTTTCTTCTATGGTTTTTATGCTTTTGGGTTTTACATTTAAGACTTTAATCTATCTTGAGTTAATTTTTGTATAAGGTGTAAGGAAGGGATCCAGTTTCAGTGTTCTGCTTATGGCTAGCCAGTTTTCCCAGCGCCGTTTATTAGAGAATCTTTTCCCCTATTGCTTGTTTTTTGTCAGGTTTGTCAAAGATCAGATGGTTGTAGATGTGTGGTGTTATTTCTGAGGTCTCTTTTCTGTTCCATTGGTTTATGTGTCTGTTTTGGTATGAGTACCATGTTGTTTTGGTAACTTGTGGTATAGTTTGAAGTCAGGTAGCATGATGCCTCCAGCATTCTTATTTTTGCTTAGGGTTGTCTTGGTTATACAGGCTCTTTTTTGGTTCCATATGGAATTTATAGTAGTTTTTTCTAATTCTGTGAAGAATGTCAATAGTAGTTTGATGGGAATAGCAGTGAATCTATAAATTACTTTGGGCAGTATGACCATTTTCACTACATTGATTCTTTCTGTCCATGAGGACGGGCAAAGGATATGAACAGACACTTCT